TCCTTTAATTATATAAATTATATATTTGAGTTTCATGTGCACTCTTATCCTAATCCCCTTTCAGTAAACTGGAGCCTGCTCTACCTGACTGCATTTACAGGTCTGTTTTCAACAGGGTTTCTGCATTTGATGCCTCCACTGCTGTGAGTGTTATGCCAAGCCCCTTCCCACCCACCTCGCATAGCTAAGCCTTATTCTCAGCCAGTGCCAGCCTCCAATATGTGCACTCATCCCATCCGCACTGTGAGATCTTAGCACCAGCTCGGCCGTACACTACGCTGGAGAGTGGGTGGCATCACATGGCCCACTATCCTACCTTCTGGGAGTTGGCTTGGAAGATCGTGCAAACACAGAGGTCCCAGTGTGATTAAGACCACCACTCCCGCGGCTTTTGACCAGCTCCTTTCCTTTTTTTCCCTTCTCTTGTGGAGTAATTCCACTGATTCTCAAATCAGAGTTGCCCACACACCTCAGTGGAGCATAGACCCTTTCCAGCCAGCGGAGCCTCCCACGCCTCAGATGATTTGAGGACAACTAGTACCACCCAAACGCTCTCTCATTTGTGTTGTGCTATTTTGTACTCTCTGTCCTCTGTTTCAGAAAAGAAGAATATTATAAGTTTCTGAGCCTAAGATTCTGCAGGGTGCAAAATCTCACGTGGGGACTGTGTTGACAATCCAAAGAAAAACTGTGACTATAGAGATAAATCAATCAAAGGGAAACTGCCTCCTCCACCCCCACATCCTGTCTGCAGGGTGATAGTAGCAGAGATGAGTTCCTACTGCTCATATAGATGTCTGTACTTTGCCCTGCGTCTGCAGCAGTATACCTCAGTTAAAAGAAGAAGCCTGGCTTCTCGCAACATTAAAATCCATCAGATTTAGACAGAATATCTGAGAAGCCATGCATCTTTTGTGTTGTTCTATTACGTAAATATTAATTATCGGCTGAGTGTTTTGTGAAAGGACTCCAATACACTGCACTGTTGTCTACTTATTCTACCTTTCCTCAGAAAAGTCATAATAGTCATTCTGTTGTTTTTGCATTACAGTTACATGTGTTACAAGGATATTTTTTATGCTTTTATTCCAAAACAAAGTTTCAAAAAACTGCAATGTGGAAGAAACTGGACAATCTGAAAAGTGTGGCCTGAATTAGTATTTTGTCCCTCTGTGTCAACAGAACCGCCATTCCAGTTGCAAGTGTTTTGGTGTATGTCTCTGTGTGCTTTGCTGTTCTAATGAGAGATGCTTTTCCCTGTTTGCAATCTCATTTAAGCTCCATCCACCTTCCCATCAACTCCAACGTCTTCTTTGTCCCACAGGATGATGCTGCTGCCACCATGTTTCATGGGGTGGATGGAATTGTCAGCGCAGAATAAGCTGTGTGTCATGCATTATATTTTTGTGGAAAACTATTAAAATGTTAAATTTCAAGTTTTATCTTACCAGCCCACCTTAATCCACATGTTACATGGCTTGTGGCAAAAAGCTGGGGACAGCCTTTGTGTCTTTCTTTCAAAATGTATATATCTTACCATTCTTCCATAAAAACACATATTTGTGAAACACACAGATTCCTCACCTGAAATATGTATATATATATATATATATATATATATATATATATATATATATATATATATATATATATATATATATATATATATATATATATATATATATATTATTTGATTTATAATCCCAGTAACTCTTAGTGGTTTTCTATATTCCACCATATGCTTTTTCAAATTACACCTTGAATGATATGTCTCTGGGAGATATCCAAAGCTTAAAAGCCAAACTCGCCTTAAGAAGTTCTCCAGTACACTATCCCTGACTTGTCTTCTGTGTGCCTTGGTCATCCTGATACCATTTGTTCCCTAATAAAACTATGAGACCTTCACAGAGCAACTACATTTATATTGAGATGAAAATGCATAAAAGAGGTAACACAAATTTGTGGTACTGGATTTTATTTAGGGGTACAAGAGGTTTGCTTTGTTTTGTTTTGAAAAGGAAATTTAAGAATAATTTTTTTACTTGCACTTTATAACCATGTTATGTGTTGTCCATATCTGTCATATAAAACTGAAGTTTCTGGTTGGAATACGCCAAAATGTAAGGAATCTGTAAGTGCTTTTCTGAAAGCTTTTTAAATCAAAATTCCTAAAATGCCGTCAAAACTAGGCCTTTGGGAAATGCCGCCTTTCAAGGCCAGCCGTTGTGCTGTGGTGGTGCCAGGGGTGACAGCTTGTCTGTGCCTGCAGCTCCAACCTGACTGGAATCAAGAGGAGTGGAGAATGAATAGGAAAACATCGGGCTCTTCATTGGCAAAATATATCGCCTGCAGGCATTGTATTTCTTCCAATATCAAACCACATATAATTCACTTTCAGCCACACCTGTTACCTTTATTGGTGCCATAAGGCAAACTCACATGAAAACGGGAAAGAGCCACAATTGGTGATTTTGCTTTAAAAGTATTTCTAGATGAATTGAGGTACTCTGTTGGCTTGCATTAGGTTGACTCTAGTGTGTGTTCTGCACAAATGAAAGCTTTAAGTACGTCTGTAAATGATCTATTATGCTGCAGTAGCAACTTCCACTGAACCATACACAGATTATCTTTCAGTTTGACCTGAAGTGCAACAAGGAAGGAAGGAGTCCCCAGCAGTTGTTGCTCCGCCCTCTTATGATACCCCAGCAGTTACTGTAAATATTTGCATGTGTAGTATAGCGGGAAATGCGGGAACAAAGTGAACTTCCTGTTGCAAGAATAATACAGGCCTGTGAGAAGTGTAACCAGGGAGTACTGCTCTACAACTGTTTAGTGACTTGTGCTTCTGTTCCCAAGAACATATTTAGAGTAATAAAGAAAGACCAGACTTCATGGAGCAGGAGCGGGACTGGCAAAAATAGTCCTTCAAACACTACTAAAGGTTTTTTAAAAAAATGTTTACGACACCCTCTTGACTTGGTCAGTCTAACAGAGCTTTTAGTGTTTGCATATTGAGATTTTTAGAGGATTAAATGTACAAAATGTGTGATGCAGGAAAATCATTTGCATTGTTTTGACCAGTGCAGAAGAAAGCATTTACTTGTGTGCTGTTACACTGATAAATGTAATATGGAACCTGGAGAGTTGTCACCTCTTGTGTCATTCTTCATTTTGGTTCCACTTTGTAACACTTACAAACACCTTGTATGTGCATGACAAACCACTAATTTCACTTACTTTCACATCCAAATATCTAACTTGTGAAATTTGGATTTTTAACTTCATTTGGATTAAATGCATTAAAGAATAAGAACTTCCATACACAGCGGTGCACCTTCTCGTCAGACTTCTCTCAAATAGCCTTGAAAAGTATTCTTCTGGCTAAATGAGACCTACATTGTTGCAAACTTTACACTGGATTTCTTGAGGCTTTCTTTCAACAATGACTTCCTTATTAGTTTAATGTAGTACAGGATTAATAGTTATCCTGTTGACTTGGTAATTCAAGTTGCATTTGTGCCATATGCTACGTTTTTAGATGATGGGTTGAACTGTAGGATGTCAATAGCTTGGAATAATGTTTTATAACATAACAGATTTCAATTTTATCCCAGATCTATCTGCTGTGTTTCTTGGTCTTCATGATGTTGTTTGTTCTCTAATGTTCTCAAACAAAATTGAGGATAATTATAGTACATCACAATAGGATAAGGACATTCGCAGTATAGTTGTCAGTGATTCAGAAAACTGAAGGCTGCATAGCAGTTTTTCAGAGGCTGCTCACAGTGATACTCCAGACTATATATTTCATAAAAATGACTTCTGCATTAGGACTGTACATGGTTTGCATGTATGTCTGCTCCAACACATTTTATTAAAATGTCTGAATGATTTCTTAAACATCCTATCAAATTCAGTAGGATCCTGATGATCCCAGCAAATTATTTATCAGTTAAGATGAAGCAGAGCAAAACTCTAAACATGTTTATCTGACCACAGTGAGTTGTATTTTTTCTTCCTTATGACACATGCTTCCGTGTTTGCTCTGTGAAAAGAAGGTGTAGGAATAAGTATTTAAGTTATTTACTTAATCTTGTAGAATGTACCAGTCTGTGTTTGCCTTGGTTTTGGGATAATTTCTCTCTGATTCAACCCTTTTAAATTCAAATGTATTTTAACATATCACCTTTTAAGTAAGAGTTGTCCTTATACCTGGATATGAACAGTGTTTTTTTGTGACTTCCTGATGTTGCTTACAAAATGCAAAACTGGTTGTTGTTTTCATTACCTCAATCAGGTGACCTGCTTCCCTTTTTAGCTGCGTTCTTTTAGCTGTGCTAGGTTACGTCAGGTACTTTGTGTAAAGTATATTACATTGAGAAAGATAAATAAGTCTTAATTTCTTTTGTGGTCTACATCAGATGGATTAAAAAATTACCAACTAACAATTTACTAACAATTTTGATTAAAAACTTATTGTATTGATCCCAGTATGTAAAATCATACAGATTTCATGTCTGAGAACTAGAAGAATTGATCATTGATAAAACTAACTATGCCTAGTTTCAGCTGTCACTAAAGAAGGGTGCATTATAACATGTACAAACAATTCTGTGAGATGCAAATCATCTGTTGTAAAGTTTTAAGGGAGACATGTTGGATTTTGAAGTATCAGTACTTGTGACTTTTCAGTATTGTGAAAAGTTCAGTATTGTGACTTTTAGAGACCTTTTTGTCCTCAACCATTAAAGTTGGAAATTTCAATATTTGGGTAAAAACAGATTCTTTTCTTACATTAACTGGGCAGTACAAAAGGAAAAGGATGTTTTTTCACCTTAACTGTTTTTGCATATTGTAGATCTACTTCTTTGTTAGAAAGATTTGTCTGAATAGCAGTTCACCAAAAAAGCTACAAGGTATGATGAGATTGAATTAAACTTTAATTCAATCTTAGTTACTCACTATCCTTTTGGAAATATGACAAAGCTAATAATTGTGGCTTATTTTATGAATTTATTTCCAAATGTAAACTCACTATTTCATGCATACAAGTTATGACAACATACATTATTCAACAATCTGTTATTTCTCATATTTGCATAGGACATGGTCACAATATATTGTCTAACATGTAAAAAATAATGCCATAAAAAGATACAATAGAGCAGCTAAGACCAGCACATTACATGTGTGTTGAATTCATTGAACTGTACAGCTGTAATACTTGAATGTAGTGATTTTGGTTTGCTGAGGAAAAACAAAACACAATAAAAATAGAATAACAGAGTCACCTGAAGGTTTTAAGTGAGGTCATTGAGAGGAATGTACTGGCCATAGCTGAGCTGAGAGATATTTACAGAACAGATTATAATGGTGCTATAAGAGGGGGAAGCAGCACCATGGAGTCACTACAACAGGCAACTGATGGTGAGGGTGCAGAGGAAAAAACACACAGAGGTATCAAGAGAGCAACATTACACTGAGGAGGTACACTGAAGACAAACAGGTACAAGAAACAGAACCGAAAAGGCTGGTGAGAGGCTCTCTGTTTGTCAAAGAGGTCATTGACACCACTGTATGCTGCATAACCTGAAACGAGCTAATCCTTAAAGGACAGACATTATTCAACAGACTTTTTCTGCAGTGAGCAACAGATGTTGCACGCCGTCTCTTCAAGCAGACAAGTTCAAACTAAAAGTACCAACAGTTTGGATCTGCTTGTTTTTTTTTTTTGTTTTTTTTGTCTCGTTCATTTTAGACTCAATCTGAGTTCGTTGGCTTGGGTGACTGAATGACTTTAGTTCATTCAAATTACTTTGTAAAGAAAAAGAAAAGAAAAGTTGTCTACTTGAGATGTAGAAAAAGGTCCATGTCAAGCACGACATCCATCTATCAACTAGAACAACACATTGAATTTGAACTCCATCGGTCAAAACAGAGCTGGACTCAAAACTACTCGAACATTCATTCTTTTCCCTTCAGAGCCTTTGGTAACAAAGATCAACAACCCTTCTATAACTCTATATGGCTGCCTCTTAAAAAATACAAATAAAAGAAAAAACCCCGACTGTGAAATGCAAAAGCTTTAGGTCTTTGTCAAGTGGGAAGACATGCTCTGTAACTTTTACATTTTGTAGGTATTCATTCAAATTGGGTTAAACATAGTCTAATGCATGTGGGACATTAGAAAACGTACCTTGTATACTGTCAGGACACACTTGTATTCAGAAACACACCCAAAAAAAAAGCAATATATATCAGGTCAAGGGGAGCAGCACTTTCAGAGCAAATGCAATCTTAAATCCTTTGGAATGGACAAGCGACTATCATCAAAGTTGTTCAGATGTTAAAAACAGCTGCAGTAAGCAATATACACTGCTTCAGCATTGAACAGAAACAACAACAAAAAGGAGCAAAATTAATGACAATAACAATACAGTTCCACAAAGCAAAATGCTCACATAAAGCATAAAGAACAGAAACATTTAACTTAGAGCAGAACTGCTTGACCAAATCCTGTACATAACATTTGACAGGTCAAACACTATATAAAACTATACAAGATTATTATTTTTATAACGTCTGATAAAAGCTAGAGTATTTATGCTCGACATTTGTATCCTCTTTAAGAAGTTACAGCTATAGTTTTGGCACACGATTGCGTGGATCATGCTTGTACTTCTGCTGACGATGTTTGATCAGTAACACACTGATGTCTTTAATTAAATATATATTGTGAACTTTCAGTTGTTACCTTGCTGCTTGAATTTGTACATGTATTATCGGTATTTTAGAATCCTTGCATGTAGAATTATGTGATCTTCAGCAGAAATATGGATCTGAAGTCAAAAGAATGTAAATGCTTAGGACCACTTTGATACTCAAACAGCTTCTTAGTATAAAACAATAAAAATATACAAATATTTTCTGGGAAAGATTTTTTTTTCCTTGTACTTTGAGTTACATGCAGGACCCGGCAATATGGAACGGTTATGTAAAATGCAGCCCAGTGTTTTTGTTTTAGTTTTTTACAGAAAAAAAAAAAAAAAAAAAAAAAAAACTCTTTGTCTACTTCTTCATTCAAGTAGGAATAAATGAAATCAACAATTTGTTTTTTGCTACTCATTAAGCAAACATAAGCTACATGATGGATGCTCTGAAAAGATATGAAAGTAAATAAAAATTCAATTATCTCAAGAGGTATAATTCTGCAAAAAATAAAAACAACCTCACACAACAACAACAACAACAACAATAATAATAATAATAATAATAATAATAATAATAATAATAATAATAATAATAATAATAATAATAATACAAATAATGACTACATTGCTAACTCACAATTCTGTGGTCTCTAATAATATGGAAAACATTTCAAATAATCTAAAGAAAGATAAAAAGAAATCAATCACTGAATCTGAAACTGACTTAGACAGAGGTAAAAACAAACAGAAATCCCCATCCACCCCAAAGTTTGCTTAGATTTTTTTTTTTTATTTCATGAATTAAAGGAACTTTTTGGAATTGCAGATAACAGGATTTACCCGCATCCCTGACATCAACAGAGTACTCAGGGGGGAAAAAAAACCCTGTTCATAGCGCACAAAATTTTAATGTACACATAAACAAGCTCAAAGCTCGAGCTTTGATGAACTCTAAAACAGTTACTGAAATGAACTGACGAAAAAAATCAGAAATTAATAATAATAATAAAAAACAACTCAGGCGATTATATGCCTTTTTCTCTCAAAGGCTCGGACAGCAAAAGCAAAGAACAGTAAAATCAGACAAAATTGTGTTCAATGGCCTTGCGTGTTGGAATTATTCAAGTACATTAGTTACAGTGAGAATAAAGGTTTTTGAGACGCTCTGTCTGTGGATGCCTACACGTCACTTTTGCAGTCTGGCTGAAGGTACAGGCTTTTCTGTTCAAATGGAAATATAAGTTAAAACAGCTTCAGAGTGGATCGATAGCAGGACTGTGCGATGTTATCAAGACATGCAATAGGCGAAAAGGGCTGCACTGAGGTGGTCCTGTGTTTCCAGCATGGTCACACACTGACCAGCAGTGAACACTGGGCACCGAGGACCACCGATGGGCAGCCACAGGCAGCCTGATGTGTGCGGCGACTGGTTTTAGAACAAAATCCACAAACTGTCCCATATCTGCTTGGCAGATGTTGACCCTGAGGAAAATGTGCAGATTATAGATTAAAAACTGATTAATGAGTAATTTTGTTCTCCTTTTTTCTTTTTTTTTTTCTTTTTTGCAAGTGAGCACTTTAAACCAAGTCAAAAAATTATACCCAAAACAGGAATATACAGAAGGTAAGCTGATCAACAGCAGTTGTTACTTCAAGAAAAACTTGTGAACTCTCACCTCTGTCTTTGAGCTGCAGATCAGTGGCATTCAAAGTGTCATCTTGCAGCCTGCAAACTATTTTAACATCATACAAAGGATTGTGTTTTGAGATAAATTCATTGCTTTTCAAGCTAAATAGGGGAGAATGAGAGGGGGATTCATTTTGACTTTAAAGAGAAGATGGCTGCAGTTGAGGAAAAGGGACAAGGCCTGACATTCATGAACTTACACCTGCCAGACCAACTCAAAGGAAAAAAAGGAAATACTCCTCGCTTTCAGAGCAAAGTTAACATGCATGTGGCGTCGAACGCAAGATACAGCTCCAGTTAGCTCTGATGGCAGTAAGTCTGAAGGAGTCTGAATAACATGGATGTGGATCCAAATGCAGCAGTGAAGCACTTAAAAAGTGCGGGCATAACATAGAGACCGGCAGGGGTGCAGCAGTTTTGATAGCGGTGGTTGTTTCCACTTTCGCCCAACTTACTGAGGCATGTCTGTCAGCTTTTTCATAGTGACATTTGAGCTTCAAATGCTGGGTTGACATTAGTCTGGTGAGCGCTGCAATTTGCTGATATGTTGATGTTGGTTTTGATGTTTTTGCAACTCTTTGAAAGTCCCCAAATCCTCCCAACTTGTAAAGAGACAGGAAGTTTGAAAGCAGCTGTTTGGAAGCTCAGGTTTATCAGTGCAAGCCCAGAGTGACGGTTTCCTCTGCATTGTGAAATCTGATTCTCCGGCTTGTATGAGAAGGAATTCTGTTTGTGCTTTGGATGGAGTCAGGCACTTCCCACCCACGCTGCTAGTGCTGTCTACAAACAGCTCTTGTTCGTACACATTTCCTCTTATCCTGCAGTTCAGATCAAGCTACCAATTACAGCTATTTTTCTGCTGGCTGTTTCTACAGTTGGAGGGAGGAGGAAATGGGGGGGGTGTCTGCTTCTGTGTGTCTCCTCCTTTGTGCTGTTCGGCTTGTGATAAAACCTCTCCTCTTTTATCAAGACCTGCCCTCTCTTGCCTGTTTGTTGCTGATATCTGCTTTGTTCCCTCAGCTCAGATCAGACAATTGCGCTAGCCAACGTCTGACCTCCTAATTAGGCAATACTAATGTAATTCAGCTGAGAACATCCTAGCACTACCTCCAGCAGGGTGGGAATGTCTTCTTTTGGGTGCAGCTGTTTCCTCCAGGGAACTTGAGCCAGGAGGAAGTGACTGAGTGTGTGACTCTACCTTCGATGTTCTCGACAGCACTGAATAAGAAGCGCTTCTTTGGTACATTCTCCTATGTGCTTGATGAGGTGGAAATATCTCGCTGCTTCTGAAGTTGTTTTGTCTCCATTTTAAGAGAAATGTGTGCTGATTAGGGTAATCAGGGTTTTTGCAAGGCTTTCAAAAGGTCAACTTTCAGCTATCTCAAGTTTAGGCCTTAAATCTTAAATCTTGCCTGATTTTTTTTTTTCAGATTCAATCCTAAAATACATTTAGCTATGCCTTACCTCACTTAATGAGTTAAGCCATAGCTATGCTTGTTATTGTTTTCATGCTGTGGTAAAACTTCAAACCCCATAAAGTATTATTTGGCCTTAACATTGAATGTTTAGATAATCAAAATCTAAGAATTCTTGTTGTTATCCACAACTAGCTCCTTCGTCATAAGAAAGTATTTACTCAAAGAGGTTTGGTGTGAAAACAAGGATTTTAGTTTGGCTAAAACCTGACATCAGTAATTTCTCTGAAGCTTACAATATACTGCAGGGAACTCCACAGACCTTCTAATTTTGACCTTTCATCTCCAGTGACTTTTCATTCTCCTGCTCACTTGTCTAGATTTTATGGTTTTGACAATAATAATCTCTAGTTTGTTTTGACAGATTACACTATAGCTCATGAAACTGAGTTATTTGTTGACTTTAAAAGAGTTTCATGTACTTCATTAACTCCAAAAATGCATTGAAGGGTTGAGTAGACTTAATGTAAAGGAACTCAACACACATCCAAGAGCTGGGAAACACCAACTAAAGTTAATAATGCTGTGTTTATGTTTCTTAAGCTAACAATTAAGCTTATTACAAGCTTTTAAGTAAATGGGTTTGTAAGGTATTCCTTATAAATCAGGCCTTTAATGCAAACCAAAATAGTCTTCAAAAGCATTTCATTGAACTTACTGAAACTTGCAGGAACCCTGTTACTGTTAGGCATCAACAGCTGCTTTTAAACTTCATTCTCAGTGTGTAAAGGTTCAGTTGGGTTTTTTTAAAATCTATGTACATTTATAAAAAATATATTAACCCAATATAATCCCAATCCGCCCGAAAATGTAGATTCACACAATTTGCACTGCTAGAACTTTTAAATGCAGTACACAGCTAATACCCAGTGTAATGTCAAAAAGTATTAGCACTGATGTATTTGTTTTCCATGGCAGGTTCAATGATTGTTTTCTCAGAAAAGAAGAGTTGCATTTGACCTCCACTTTAGACGTAGGACAGAACACAAACTGAAGCTTAGCAAAATGACAGCATTTCTTCAAATCTGAAAGCCAACAAACAAAGCATAGAGTGCAAATTGTGTTGAGTGTAAGGCTGGAGTATAGTATGTACTGTATGTTTCTCTTCACCATGTTCATTCTTTCAAGCTAACAAGGCCATCCCTGAGCAGGGCGTAAAATTCAACTCCCCGTTGAATTTTCGAATAAAGTGATGAGTATATTGTGCAGTCAATGTGAGTACTCTTGAGTACTGTGGTACTACAGAAAAACAACTGTCTTCAATCCTGAGGTGTGTGTGTGTGTGAACCCCTTCTCCTAACCCATTCAATAAAAAATCTGTTAAAATCAAAACATTTTAAGAAGACATAAGATGGTGTCTGTTTTGTTTTCCTTCTTCTAAACTGTGAATATACAATAAACAACTAGCCATAGTCAGAAGCTTAAAAAATACAGACATGTGGTACAGAATGGAGATATCGCCATCTGGGAAAGGCATTATCTTCTTTTAGGATCACACAAGTAATTGCACTACAATAAGCACTTATGTACAGTATGGTACACCACAGCAAGCGCAGGAATAGCAAAGGAGGGGGGTAGCGGGTTGCTGACAACTGTGCAACAGAAGTGTTATGATGAAATTGCAGGCCTCACATCTGTGGGCCTGAAAAGTGCGACCAGGTTTCAGTTTAAGGCGAGCTGGCTGGACTGAGGGTGGGGCTGATGGTGGGACTGGATGCATCCGAGCGGCTGTAGTCGCTGAGAGAACTGGGGCGCGTGGCGTTGCCACCGTGGGGCTTCTTCAACATGCCAGGCTGGAAATCTGAGTGGCGCCTGGCATGCTTCATCAGGTGGTCGCTGCGCATGAAGCGCTTGTCGCAAAGTGGACAGCCAAACTTCTTCTCTCCCGTGTGGGTGCGGTAATGGCGGGCCAGCTCATCAGAACGGGCAAACTTTTTACTGCAGTCGGGCCAGGTGCATGGAAAGGGCCGTTCACCTACAGAACACAGACAGGAGAAATGTGGAGTAACAATTAGATCCTTCTAGTGTCTGGGTAAATTGTTTCATTATGATTGAAATTTCTTTTGTGAAGAGAGATGAGGAGAAGAAGGCAGCAGAATGCTGCATGCCAAATGAGATGTGTCTGATGATATAGGGTCTGATATAGGGTCTTTAGAGACAGAGGTTGACCCCTCATGGCCACAGGGGAGAGATAAGACATGATAATGACCATTTAATGGGGTGATAGCCTTCAAAGTGGGATCTGTTCCATTGAGTCCAATGTTACAAGAAGATTAAGTACATTGTGTAAGGTTTGAGTGAGGCAGCACTGTTTTTAAGCTCAAAAAGCCTGTATGACCCCTAATAACATTAAAGTACAATAGAAACTTCCACTGTGACTTTTGCTTCCAAACTGAGAAATTTCAAGTTCCCATGCTAAGTGTACACACATATACACATACAGACACATGCACACAAAGCCACGTCTGGGTAATTTATTTTGCCAAAATACTGGTTTCGTGCTATTGGTAGTGTCAATCGATCGCTGAATAAAATATTGTGATCCATTTTGTTTGATTACTGGAGAAAGCAGTGGGATTCTTGTGATTCTTTAGAGGCTGCCATTTTGAACTATTCAATGACTCAATCAGACAATCAGATCTCTATCACAAGGGGAAACAAGAAATGGTAAAATCGTGGAAATATTGGTTGGTTTAAAATATTACTGTTCTGAAATGTTGGCATACATTCATGCTGTTAACTGATTAATTCTGCGTAGCCAATAGCAGATTGTTTGTTTTTTAAAAAGTCACATGTTTTACTTTGGAAGTAATGTAAACCTAAAAATCAGTAAAGGTAACCCAAACATCACTTCATTTGTAAAACAACTTATGGGTTATTCTGCTCATGCTGTTTTTAGTGTGAAAATTAAATCATTCTCTTTAGTATTTAATATAATGTATTCACTATGTGTGCTAAATGTTTAAACATGTAGATATGCTCCTATTATAAAGCTAGTGTTTTTAAAACTGTGGTGACAAACAAATGACTGGTTTAGAGATTTAAAGAACATAATCAAAACATGATTTGACTTCTAAAAAGGTGGAATATTTTTTTGGAGAATAGCGTGCAGGAATGTAAACTGTGTGTGATTAGCAGTAAATGGGCCACAACAGGTCTCTGCTTTCATTTGATGTTTGATTAAATTTGTATACCAGGCTTGCTTGGCAGCACTAATAGTTTGAGTGTATGTGAGTGAGCCATATGGAACCTGATAATAACACTGGTTATCTTAATCTGATAAACACCTCATCACCAGGAGCGATGACTCATTTGCTGTGAATAAATAAACAATGGTATTCCTACAATCTAATAACGCTGTAAGAAGGATATTAAAAAAATCAAAGAGTTATCTGAAAACATGACAAAACTAATAAGCTGTAACTGCTTTGGTAGTGATAAATTACCAACAAACTGGCGTGACACTGAACTAGCAGACACAGTTTAATTATACAGCTCCAGATGCTAATTACACTCACAATGACTACCCAACCCATTTTCAAACATGCAGCTATTTGTGCTTTGGAACATGGAAATTCACACATTCTCCCTTACATCATGCAATCAAAGAGGGGTGGGGATTTAAGCAAATCTACTAAAACCCCCTGTATGCAACCTCAGACATGTTTTTGTCGTTCTGTAAACCAACCTACAAAGTGTGCCTGATAGATCATGCTGTTTTCTACATATTCATTGAGTTTCTAAATAATAAAATAACATATCCAATGAGCACATGACTTAATTTTTAAACATTTAGGGTTTCTCCTTTGAATAAGAATTATCAATCATTATACAAACCTATGCCAATGGTTTGAGGCATGAATGAGAAAATATAATGAGAAGCATAAATGTTTATAGATGCCACAAAAAGAAAAAAAAATATGGCCGCCAAGGGCTTTCTTTGTTCTTTGGTTTTCCCTGTGGGCCACAATGGAAACAAGCACTGTTCACCGTCAAACATTCATACGCTAGCATATGCCAGAGAGTCTCAAAAACATGAACTCGGTTCACTACAAGTCTAGATCCCTCCTGTCCCCCACCCCCTTTTTTTTGCATGCTTACAAAACATGCAGACAGACAGAGCAAGTCTAGACAGTATGGCTTGTGTTCTTGCTTCTGACGCCTTACCTCAGCTCCAGACAAACACAGCTGGAACTGCCTACTGCAGTTCCTGCAGGTTCATGCATCACTTCATGTATTTAAACTCACTAACAGATGCATATAAATTTGCATATGGACATAATGAGTATTTTTTATGAGAACTAGTGAAAACACATTGATTTTCCAGGTTGAAACTACAGAAGGAATAAGCCTGGTTAAAATGGAGTTTAAATTACTAGACACTCATCTGACTGAGGTGTGTCATGTTGGACTGATTTAATATCATATCAGCAGCAGAAGGGAGATTGGGCTGCCCTCCTATCACTGCAAAATGAGTTACTGCCCTAAAAGTAGAGCCAAGTTCTGCAAGCTGCTTAGGGGTCAATCACCAGAGTAACAGATCCAACCAACATTAATATTTTAACAGATGAATAGCTGAGCTACCCCGTCTGGTTGGCCTGACACAGTAACGTATCGTGGAAGCATCAGATATCTAACTTCAGTAAATTAGAAGAATCCCTAACGCATTCTGAATAAACTTTAAGAAGCTTTTGACTTTAAAGACTACAGTTTTTAAAGACAGGCATAGTCCAAAACAACGCTTTGCTATGCGGTAGGTCTCATACACTAATGCTGCAGATTCCAAGGTTTTGTGATATGAAATGGGGCCACATAAAATCATTATTAAAAAAATTGGTGAGGGGACAAGTGTTGAAAATTATTTTAAAAAGTGCAATAACCTGGTTGCATAAACGATCCTGCAGACACCTGAAGGCATCAGTGAAGAGGAATTTGTCTTTCTACATCACTGTGGGTCCACGCATACTATCACATAAGACGGAATTAATAAAATGAAGATTGGAGTTTTGGATTACAGGGCAGAGAGAGCAAATATTGATAAATTAGTGGAATGCTAATCCACTCCCAGCATCGCAGACTGTTAAAATTTAATTAAAAGATGTTCTTCCAAAAAAGTATTCTGAGTGGCCACTTTTTTGCAACCTGTTTTGTTTTTTGTTTTTACATAAAAACAAAAAAATGAAAGAAATTTTGAAAAGATTTATCATGTACTCACTTGTTACACTACAAAACAAAAACCCTTCCCGTGCATGTTTAGATGCTTTGAATGAAAATGATAACACTGCGTGCACCGTTGGGATGTCACTGTCCATGCTATTTTTGTAGACTGCAGCGATTACTCAGCATCTCTGCTGGAAAAAGAATGTGACCAGAGCTTGCCTTTCTTCCCATCCAGTTAGAGTCCTCCCACAGCGGGGCAGCGTGGCGACTGTGATGTCAGGCCCCACCGATTGGTTATCCCATCCCTGGCAGCTTGCCACATGCATGGTTTGCCTTTCGCAGAACGTGTCAGTTGCAGAGGGCGAGGGCAAAAGGAGGGGCTGGTGGAGGGAGACAGGAGGGAAGCTTCTCTCAAACGAACACAGTGACCCAGTTACCCATAAAGTGAGTTACATCATGCACGCAAAAACCACCTCTGCTAAGCACTAGTGTCCCCCACTAACCCCCCCACTCAAAGGTGGTGTGATTATGTCACAGGTGTTGCAGTTATATAACTGTTCTCACTGAGTCCAGTGGGTCAGTAAATAAGCAGCTCGTCCTTCCGTCCTCAACTCATTCATATCTCAGTGGTTTCTGCAGAAAACGCTCGAGAGAAATGGAATCTGTCCCTGAGGTGTAAAGGACTCTATCTGGAAAGGCGAGATCAAATCTCTCTTTGACGCAGGCACCGGTGCAGTAACTTAACTTGATCACCTGCTCCAACAACGGCTACCAGCATTTCAGCTAAATATAGATAAAATTCCTGTTGCATTCTCAGGCACAGGCACACAGCGTACACCTGAAAAACTCCATGTGACTACCTTCCAGAAGTGAGCAAGAGTAAATTCCTTGGTTGGGGGATAGGGAAAATTACAGTTTCTGAACATTATTCAAAGATCACCTTGAAGTTAACTTTCTGTTTTCTGCTCAGTTACAACCTGGATACAAATTTTTTTGGATACTTTGGCATAGTGGAGTTTTGGTTAAAGGATTTTAGCAGCTATTATCTTCCCTGTAGCTGAAAACGGTCCTGAGATCTTTATTTAACATAAACCCAGATTAACATAACAAACAATTACTCCGTACAAGTCCGAAGCAGACATCTGTCTTATAAGTCAAAGATGCCAGAATAGTTAATGGGATTGGTATTTTGCACACTTTTATACTGCTATTGTGTTTACTTCAAGTGTTTTAACAAACTAAATTATTGTGAAAAGTTAACTGGTGTTTTATTATTATTATTATTATTATTATTATTATTATTATTATTATTATTATTATTGTAATAATAATAATAATTATTATTATTATTATTATTATTATTGTAAATAATAATAATAATAATAATAATAATAATAATAATAATAATAATAATAATAATAATAATAAAAACTAAACAAGACACACACAAAAAAATGTCTACTGGGTCAGAAAATGGTGATGAAGGCTACCAGACTTGACAATTTTATTTTATTAAAATAGTCATTGTCTTCTCTTTAAAAACCTCTCAATATGAACTGCACATAAACCTCGATTCCTACAAAAAGACAATGCCAAAGGTGGGTCTTCATGAGTCACTCATAAATTGCAAAAACAAAGGCTTAATGCTTGACCTAGACTCTTTCCATAAGTCTGGGATTTAAGTCCCATGAACAACCACTCTCTCAAGTTATCAGGAATCAAAGTAAGCCAGTAGTTGTTAACAATTTGAGGTAATGACTAATTGTCCCTTTCGCAAAAGAAAATGACTGGTTCAAATTGTGATTGTTAGTATCA